ACACATTCCCGACAAGGAGACATCCTCCATCACGTCCGTCAAGATGTCGTTCAACAGTCAATCGCGGCACGCAGAGGCCCTTCCAATACCGTGTTCTTGGTATCCATAGTTCTGTAAGGAGACGGCTGCGGAATGGCCTCGGCGACAGGGCAGACATCGACTTCCATGACGGTGGGGACGGGCTGTGGAAACAGGATGTCGAAGCCGTCCATCACATCGAGGTCAAAGGGCACCGGGGCAAGAACGGTAGGGATCTGCACAGGAGAGACGTCAAACGCGACAACATCTTCCATAGCCAGCAGCAATACCCACCTCGTCACCACACAGCGTCACTCCTTCGAGCATCATATTGGCGTCCTCCAGGTGACCGTTGAGCTGCTCTGGAAAAGATGGGGTAGCCAAGAGGAACGCATGCAGGCCGTCGAGGGCACATGGCTTGGCGATGCGCGGAATTGGCGATGGACTGACAGGTTCTGCGCAGCGACGACGACGACGACGCAGCGGAACGAGAGGCGTAGGGACAGCGCCGAATGACACGCCCTTGTTCGTGATGTCGCCCAGCACACCAAGCACTGGACCGAACACATCCGAGGCAGACGCGCTGACCCCACTCTTGCCCTTGCTCTTCTTGCTCGTCGAACACGCGTACGGCGTCTTGGCCAGTCGGCGACGGCGGGCGCTGTTGTCCCGACGGCCCATAGAGACCACCAGCTCCGCAATGTTGACTATCCGTGTGTCCTGTCCCAACTCAACACGCGCCTCCGCCGTGCACACCTTGAATGTCAGTCGCCGCTCGTCCTCGTCCGACGCACCGACGTCCAGCGTCCGCACACCCTCCGTCAATCGCTTCCGCTTCCCAGCTGACAACGGCCCATCCTGCTCGTCCACCCAGTCCACCTCCCCGAGGCGGATCCGGCGCAGATTGTGGGCGTCCAGCGTGCGACCCAGAGTTCGATGGCGCCCATGAGCATCGTAGGCTGCCCGCACCGACTGCCGGTATTGGGTCTTCGACTCGAACACCCGCTTTCCAAGACGTCTTGCTGCCCATGGCGCCGCGACGAACGGCGGGGACGTGGGAGGAGCCGTGAAGCGGACGATCTGGCCATCGGTGCAGGCCAACGTGCCGAAGGGCAAGTGAGAGAGAGAAGTGAAAGTTGCACAAGTCATGTTTCGAGTAGTACGCGAGAGCTATTCGGCTGATCAACAGAGAATGTGGGGCGTACAGATGGGAAAACAGACTCTGCGCCCCGCCCCATTTTATGTTCGAACATTGCGATCGGGACTGGAGTTTGGCATATTCGTTCAACAAGATGTCGTCGCCGACGCGTCTGTGCACGTGAGCGTGTCGACGTCTGGGAGATTTCGGGGGAGCTACCAGCGGCGAGCTAGAGGGTGCAGCAGGAGCGATTTCATGTAGAGCTCTCCGAAGCCCTCGGTGAGGTCTACATGAAATGTCTTCTGTTCTCCTCGTGTTTCGTGTCAGCTGGTGTAGCGGACACCCACGGACCACCGGTGTGGCAATTGTACGAGGATCCTGTTTTACGGCACCATGCGCCTGGCCGCTGATGCCTCAGTGGTGAGCGATTCAAAAGTGAGAGGTAATAACATTCTTACCAGCGCAAACATGTCCCAGACCGACAGGTTGAACAGTCGTTTGACTCGTTTCGAGCTTGACCCAGACCATGATCGCATGTATGACTTCGCAGGCGTTTGAGGTCAGATGAAGTGATGAAGAATGAGCTGAGGAGCACAAACTATACACGATGCACCGATAAGAGAGGATGATGAGCAGGTGAGGTCACATGTCCCCTCTGATTCAGGCGCCATATAACTATGGTTGTATGGCCCCACACTGAAACGCCAATCTGGATATGTGGTGCATGGTAAGCACCCGAGCTGCTCGAGGATACATAGTCCACTAGTCTCTACGTTTATTATCCAACCGCCATAGATAATAATGAGCATTACGGAAAATTGCTGACCCGGGGTGAGTGTGAGATGCTCGATCATGCAAGCGTGAGGGTCACGATCAGTCTCTGCTACGGATCAATGTCTCGATCTCTGCTATCGCTTACCCCACATTCTTCTCTCGCGCGCATACACACAAAACCTCAGAGAATAACTCCAGAACCCCCATTGCTGCATCGTTCGCGTGTCGGTTTCTGGCCGCGCAGCATTGAGTCGTGAAAATAACACTGAGCGCAAAAGTCTCGATCTCCCCTGCCTGGCTGCCCTACTGTAGTACCACCTTGCTTCGCGAAGGACTATGAATCAGATTATTGACAACCTATGGGTCGGCGACTTGAGAGCAGCACTGGACACAGAAATGCTCAAGGCCAATAACATTTCAAGTGTCTTGACCGCCATGCGGGGGCGGGTTTCAGTCAACGAGGTGCGTTTGTCTTGCAGGATATATGGCGCGTGAGACGAGGTCCGTGAGTAGACTTTCATTCGCTTCCAAATCAACCTCGATGACACCGAAGATGCGGATATCCTGGCCCATCTCATCTCTGCCGTTGCCTTCATTGAAGCAGAACTCAACAAGGGCAAGGGCGTCCTAGTGCATTGTCAAGCGGGCATGAGTGAGTCTTAGAGCCATGTATGCGCGGCATTGACTGAGCGCAGTCGTGTAGGCCGAAGCGCGACCATTGTCGCTGCATACCTCATGTATGTCCGACATATCGATGTGGGGAGCGCGTTAGAGCTTATCCGGAAGGCGCGTCCGAGCATACAGTATGTAACACGCGCTGTATTGCGTATGGTCGTGTCACCATTATCATAGACCTAATCCAGGGTTTCTGCGACAACTGGAGATCTTCCACCAAGCCTCGTATAAGGTCTCGAAACGGGATAAGGCAACACGGATGTTCTACCTCGAGCGGGTCGTCCAAGACGTCATGAGTCAGTCGACAATCTTTCAGAGCGGATGATCTCTAACGAGCACTATTCCCAGATGGCGATGGGGAAGTAGAAACAGACTTTTTCGCAAAGTTTCCCCAGACACCGTCCGACTCTGTTCCACCAACACCCACCGGCCCACGCCGTAAAATCCGCTGCAAGATGTGCAGGTAAGTCCTCCCATCCTGTTGCCTCCAGTCCACATCTCACGCATCTCCAGACAAGAGCTAGCCACGCGAGAGCACATGCTCGACCATGGGCAGCTTGGTCCCCCCACGCCCGCCTCCGCTGCAGCCTTCTCCCCCGCTGCCTCCCGGCGGCCCTCCATGCACGACGGCAGGCCGTACAACCTCGCCATGTCGCCTTCCACCTCGCGCCGCCCGTCGATGCACGACAGCCGACCGCTCGGCCTCACGCCGCTCGGCCAAGCGACGCCCACGATGTCGCGCCGGCCGTCGGGCTCGGCGCACGAGCCCGCCGCCCGCTCGCGCCTCGGCTCGAACACGGACACGCGCCCGCTCAGGTCTTCGCTCCTCGCGCTCGAGAGCGCTGCACAGCTGGGGCAGAACATGTCGGACTCGCTGTCGGAGTCGGCGCTCGAGGAGGAGGAGTCCGACGAAGACCCGGGCAATGGCGGGCAGGAGCAGAGCGCAGAGGACAAAGACGAGCAGACGCAACAGGATGAGGCCGAGGACACCGACCGTGCGCCGCAGCAGGAGGCGCGGCCGTCGCCGCCGCCTCTATCAAGCTCAGCGTCGGGGCCGCTACCTGCTATCTCGCCCATCCTGGCGCGGCGGCTATCTCAGTCGTCCGGGCTGATGCATGGGTCGGACCTAGCCGCACAGCTATACGCGAACCCGAAGCTCGCTGCGCTCCGCTCGCCGCCTGCTGCGCTGAACATGACTGCGCTGACGTCGCCGGTCTCTTCGTCGTCGCCCAGCGGAGTGAAGGGGCTCCCATACAGCCCCCCGATCCTGGTGAACCCCAAATGTTCGGGGTATTTTGTCGAGCCGGTACGTATTTGCTCGCTCGCACTGTTTGCGGCCGCAATGTCCTGACGATGGTGAGATGGGCTTGTAGATGAAGTGGATGGACGTCTTCCTCGAGGACGGGCAGATGGCGGGGAAGATCGTCTGTCCGAACAAGAAATGCGGTGCGAAGCTGGGCAATTTCGATTGGGCTGGCGTGTGCTGTGGGTGCAAGGAGTGGGTCGTGCCGGTGAGAACCTGTCGCACAGGCCTTGAGTGTATTGCTCTAACCTCTTTGGCCATCTCAGGGCTTCTGCATCCATCGCTCCAAGGTGGACGAGGTGGTGTAATGGATCGTGGATCGTCTGTACGTTGGAATGATGTATATTTGTAAGACACGAATCTCGTTTCAGGTTGTCAGAACTCTATCGCGGAGCATATACTCGTATGCACATGCTCGATACACACTCTAGGACCTCTCCGCCATTGTACCCAAAAACCCATTGTTCACAAGCCACAGAGACGGACTACATAGCTCTTCATATGGCTGACTACTCCTGCCATTCCATCATATTTCCGAAGTACCTCAGGAAACAATGCATAACTCGTTCCGCTCTTGTCCAGCGCCATGCTATTGAAGACAGATATTGGTATAATTGAACAGAGGGTGTGGTATAGTAAGTAATACACGTGGCAATTACGCTGCGGGTTTAGAACTACAGTAGTAAGCAAGACAACCTTTCGCCCTAGATGCGTGAAACAATGTGATATAGATACAATAGGAAGTTGTGCGTCCTCTGACCGGTGTCCACACTATTCAAAAATACAATCATGCAGATGGTGGGGATTGTGGCTTCGGCGTGTGTCGAGAAATGCGCGAGATGCGATACGGATGGATGCGGGCGGCCTTCGAGACGGGGCGCTCTGGATGGCGTCGGAAAAGTTCGACCGCAGGGCCGGTGACGACCCACACGCCCGGAGCGGGATTGGAAGCAGTGCGCGGGGTTCCCGGGAGGGGCGGGACCGGGGGCACTTCGGGGATGACAATCATCATGGCGTTGGCGTCTTCAAATGTCGTGCGCTTGAAGGATATGCGGTCGCTGATAGGATATGGGAGCGAACCTGCGACCGGGCTGCTGCTCCGGGAGGAAGCGGTGCATGAAGAGGTCGTGGATGACACGGATGCCTGTCGGACGCGCCCGTGATACGTGGATCTCTGGGTCTGTCTATCGTTGAGTTGCATCTGCTCTACTGCAGCCTGAAGTGGCGGAAAGTGTAAGCGTGATCATGTGCAAGAAAGCCGCGAGCAAACAAACCTGTAGTTGTACGTGAGGGTCATAAGAGTCGTGTGCACCGGGCAGTTCGTATGTATTCCGCGGGTCAGGAAGACCAAGGGCATGGAGAGGCGGAAGTGTCGGGCGGCTGTCGGTCTGGGAGGAGACGAAGGACGCCATTTGGTGTGAGGTCGTATGAGAGATGGGGTGTGACAGTTTATATAATGAGGAAGATCTCAACCGCGGCTGATAGAAGTAGAGGAGCTGAAGTGTACAAAATTGGTATCCACCAGGGTACCAAGGCCTGCCCTTATATGAGATCAACTGAATAGGAAGGGTATCGATTAGAGTCGCGGAGTAGACGAGCTGCGGTGCGGATGACCGACTGCAACGCCACGCGTGGCCCCTTATAACCACAGGTCTTCACAAATGGACAACACTGCGCATTGTGTATATTGCCAAGACAGCGGAAACAGTCTCCGCGCTCGCTGAACGCGTCGCTTAGCCGCCGGCTTTGTCCCCTCGGGCACAATGGCCACTTACGCGTTGTTTGGCGCTGTTGTCTTGCACCTTCCGTCGGACTCTGAATTGGCGGCAGTCATATCATAGCTACGCAATTACAATGGCGTATTGCTATGGCATTTGAAGTGTCGCATGGTCTCTGTAGTCATTGAGTGAGATGGCGGGACAAAACGAGAGGAGGCGGTGGACGGCAACCAAATCTCCTTATTTGTCCTTGTGTGCGAACAGTTTTCATGTCTCCCACGGTCTCGCTTTTGTTTGAATGAGAAGGTAGCGACCATACAACTCGGGATAACTCCAGCAATGGCAGAGGCAACACCGAAGATCAAAATTGTGAGGGCTACATGTGTCACTGCTCACTGTTATTCACCGCTGTTACCATGTCGCACACGCTCGATCATAGCTCAAGGGCGCCGAACCCGATTTGTCTGCTGCAACATACCAGATCCACGATGAGTCGCATACCATAGGCAACGCTCTAAGATGGATGCTCATGAAGAAGTACGCCGTCAATTTTTATTATCTTGTTGGTATACTGACCGCCGTGCTTGTTGCGCGAAGCCCGAAGGTAGAATTCTGCGGATATAGGTGAGCCATGATCCATGACCTCGTTTCACCGTGCTCTTCGAGGTGTTCGCAAGATGGCTTGAGCTATAGTTGTCCTAATCAGGTGGCACTGAACGGATTATTGCAGTGGTGTCCCTCATCAGCCCTGAGTGGACATTGTGCGGTGACAATACGGATTTCCCGGACGCCGAAAGCAGCCTGGATGCAGCCATTTCTCATTTTGATGGCAGGGCATCGATCCCGGGCGAGTCTAACTAGGGTCTGGTGACTCGTCGCAGAAAAATGTCCCTGGTCGCGCCTCTTCACGTCGGCAATACATCGCTATCTATTGTTGCCTTCTCTAATGCTCTCCGGGTGCCCCACAGCCACTCCCACGTATTCCAGAGTGGTCGCGTTGACTCGCGTGGTCTACCACTGTCGTCACACTCGTGGTGTCCGTGCGGAAGCAGCTCGTAGTGTTCTGCTTTATTGTTGGCCTGTCTTGGAATTTCTCATTCATATTTTCGTTGGCTCGATTGATCTTCTTGCTAACCACCTCACCAGCGTCCCACATCCGTCAGAAAACCATATCCATATACGTATCCAGATGTACGGTGCGTGTTGTACACATTACTGCAACGAGCTGTGCTCCTAACGGCAAGGCACAGACAACCTCTCGTCCTTGACCGCGCTGCTCACTGCCCTCTCCGATCTTGACGACCTGTGCGTTACCATCGACGACGCATACAAGACGAGCTTTCAAAAAGATGAATTCGAACGGTGGGACGAGAAAAGCTGATCGCTAGCAGTCCAGTCGTCCCTCTTTTCCGCTTTCAGTCTCCGACACACTGTATCGTTATTAGGCATTTATTGTACGTTCGACAGGCAGGATCGCTGCGCGCAGCATAGCACGCTTCTCATACCTTACGTGCGGTGGAGCAGAACGTAGATGTGGATATACATTGCGATAGTTATGCTACACAAGGTTGTGTCTGTTTAACATTCCTCACGACCGCCGCCTACTGGCCCTTCGTCTTCGGGGAGTTTACCCAATACGAGCCATGCGGCCACTCGTATTCGGCGATACTTGACTTGTACATCTCGATGCTATTCATAGACGATCCACTTTAGCGGCAGCTATGACACCCAGGCAGATTACAAGACACACCTGTAGCCCTCCTTTGCGTCGCTTGGTACATTGTATCGGCCGTCCTTGTTGATGGAACACGGATACAAGAAGTGTTCATGCAAATGGTCTACGAATTCAAGGACATTGCGGTCCATCGAGCCGGAGACTGCGATGTAGTCAATCAAGCTATTCGCAGGCACGTCAGTGACACTCGGCTGGAAGTAAACACCCTGGCTGACCTAAGGTGAATGACATATTCGCAGAGACCAACACCGCCCGCGTGCGGGCACACCGGGACGCCGAACCTGCAAACGATCAATCCCGTGGTCGTGGATGACACCGACCAAATGCGTACTTGGCAGCCATCAACAGGACACTCAACACTTCGCTGACGCCGGCGAGACGACACGAGTCGATCTGGCACACGTCGATGGCCTCGGCCTGCAAAAGCTGCTTGAACACCATGCGGTTGTGCGCATGCTCGCCGGTGGCAACACCGATACCGTGTGGGCGCAAGGCCTTTCGGATCGCAGCGTGTCCCAAAATGTCGTCAGGAGCGGTAGGCTCTTCGATAAACCTGCCATGGGGAGCGCGGTTAGTACCTCAGTGGCAGGAAGCATAAGCGCCTTAAGCGCATGATAAGCCACCCACCATGGCTTGATGTCCTCGAGGCTCTTGACGTATTCGATAGCCTGTGGAACATCCCACACTTGGTTCGCGTCGATCATGAGGACGCTGCCCGTCGGACCCGCATTCTTGCCAATCAACTCAGGACTACTGGGGTCACGCGGGGGTCGGTCTGTGGGTAGATATTGCGGATCGTCGATGATCGAGCGGATGATCTTGCCGCGGCGGAGGTCCGAGTCGCGGTCCGCACCGACTTTCATTTTGAAGTGATTGAAGCCCGCCTCGACAGCCTCGCGCGTTAGACGCGCGACCTTTTCGTCGCTGTAGCCGAGCCAGCCCGCTGAGGTGACATATGCGGGGTACCCGCGTTTGCGCACGGTCGCCTCGCGCTCGGCCTTAGTTGCAGCCTTCGCCTTGAGCATCTCGAGGGCTTCTTCGCGCGTGATTGCGTCAGTAATATACCGGAACGCCGTTGCGCTGACGAGCTCCTCCTGGGAATGGTAGGTCATGGGTAAGATGCGGTGCTCCGCGGTAGACTAAAGGAGAACGCACCGGAGACATATCCACTACGAGCTTCCAGAGCGGCTTGTTACGGGAGCGGGCAAACATGTCCCATAGTGCGTTATCGACGGCTCCCAGCGCGATGTGTATAACGCCCTTCTCGGGGCCAATCCTGGGCACATGAGCGGATGTTAGGGTGTCCGGTGACTTACAGGAATGTGCAGCGCACGTACCATCGCAATTGAGGGTCTGCACAGAGATACTCCCACGTCTTGCCCATGTTGGCAAACAGCTCCTCAACATCCTTGCCAAGCAGACGGTTCGCGACCTCCTTGATCGCAGCACAGACAATGTCGTTCCCGCGGCCAATGGTGAAGGTCATACCGTGGCCGACGAGGTCGGACGAAGTGAACAGGGTCACATATGCCGAGGAGTAGTCGCAGTCCGTGTTCATGGCATCCGTACCATCACCTGTGAGTGAGGTGGGGAAGCGGACATCTGCAGTAATTAGAGACGGATGAGAGTGATGAGGGCTGGAGATAATCGCACAACGCACCGTGTGTCTCGAAGCCGGTGATCTTGACAGACATTGCCGCGGTCGAGCTCGACTATATCAAGAGCGAGAATGGGGGTCGAAAGGGGGCAGTGTGTGCAGAGCGACATGAATTCAGGATTTATATTCTGGTCGGACCTCCCGAGTCCCTATGTCATATGAGGGTTGCCGGTGGGCGGACCGGGCGGACCGCTCCTATGCAGCATCCCGATCGTGCACATATTAGCGCCCATCCAGCGTCTGCGAATATCAGCTGCGGCGCTCCTCGCCGGAGATGGGCGGAGACTCGAACTTGCACGGATCCTCCTTCTCTTCCAGAATCCTTGCTATACTCGTAGGAGTTAGAGGGGACTTCGTCAGAATAGCTGTGCTCGATTCAATATCTTGTAAATCCTAAAATGAAAGTCTGACATATAAGGTTAAGGTGATTGAACAGGATCGGAGTTTGACTTTGGCCGGATGGAGCCGAATTGTGGCGTAAGTGTGGCTGCAAGACTTGCGTCAAGTTCGTCGGATTGGACCTCTATAACCCCCCATAGCGGCGAGCGGGAAGATGCCTGCTCTTCTGTGTGAGATCTATTTTGCGGAGGCACTTGCAGGTACTCAGTGTATGGGACGTCCACGCTCTAGGCTCAAATTACGATGTCCTTGAGTAGCATGCCTACTTGGCTGTCTGACACGTGGCCGACAGTAGGGTACGGTGAAATAGGGCGGGCTAATTAGCCTCGGTTAATTAACCCTTTCTAATTAGCCGTACATTTCACGAGGCCTGAAAAACAAGGGTTAAATAAGGTGAAATAGGGTTAAGTGACCTGCGCTGATTTTGGACATGTTCCGGACGCAGTAGGAGTTCAGCCTTGCGGTTGTTATCCAGGATGACCAGTAATCGTAGTTTCTGACCTCATCAACCTCAACGCCCCATTGCTGAAGGACATTCTTGCTAACGAGCGTCCCAAAGTACTGCATTGGGACTAAATTAGAGTGGAGCATGTATTGAATTTATAGACCAGTGACGGACCTGGGATGAATAGTAGCAGCTGCTGTCCAGGTGTTCGGTCGCTGGGCGACTTAAACATTATATAAGGCTACTTTAGTGGCTAGAAGTGCTCATTAGGCCATGTTCTATACCGGCTAATTAGCCGTGAATTACATAGGTTAATTTGACCTCTCACACAGGCCTAGGCTAATTAGCCGGTTAAGCAGGTCACCGTACCTATTTCACCGTACCCTAGCCGACAGGCGATAATGCAGTACGTTTACACTTGTTCAAATGTTGGCTCAGAGTCTCGATTCACGGAGGCTGCAGTGGTTGGTGTATCCTGCATTCATCCAGCCAAATTGTGGGCTGCATCGTGGATAGCAGAAGCGATTTCAGATAAGTACAGTTGTTCTGACAAACCTTCTTCCATGAGGCCACCATAATGTCAGACTGGCTATCCCTCTCGTCTTTCTGAGCTCCTCCATTGCACGCACCACCTTTAACACAAGAAATATGTGCTTATCCCGCTCATCCGCGCTCTGCAACACTTGCCGGAGTGGGCCCTTGGAGACGCAATCTTTCTTAAGCCTGCCTGCAGCACTCTCCACCCCGACGCAAAGGCGGCCCCTCCCGTAGCCGGAGGCCATATGCGTCCATCAACGAAATGAAGCCTCCGGCATGATTTACTTGCTATGCACGGTTGCATCAATGGATAGTCGCTCTATCCTGTGTATGTAATGCAAGTTCGCCGCCCTTGACAGTTGGAGATGTTCATGCTGATCGTTGAGGCCTTCGTCAAGATGAGGAAAGTATCTGCCGCTTTGCGATTGAATCGGTGGCCATGTGTGTCTCCGTTTCCTGACATCGTGTTGTAATGATCGTTGGTTACCCAACACTCATCCTTTGAATTCTGTTGGATCATAAATGTCAGAAAGGTGTTTTATCATTCTCACCGTTTGTGGTCTTCATCTTTCAAGATTCGTCTGGACTTGTGGTTCGAACAGGAACTGAAGATTCGCGCTGCGGTTGTCGAGATATGTCTTCGAGGCGCGAGGTCATCGCTGCTGGTCCGATTATGCCTAGTGGGATCCACCATTTGAATTTCGCTTTCTCTCGTTCGACGAGCAACCACGATCATATGATTTGGATGCGCAAACGACCTTACACTTTTAGGAAGCTTATTCCGTGCTTGCAGGTCGATCAGCGGTATTGGTGCGCCCCATTGGGTATTTTAGCCCACTCCCGATTGGAAATCATTCATCAGTGGATACGTCAGGACACCTACCACAGTCTCCGACGGCCGTAGCAACCACATCAGCAGATTATCAGTCAAATGAGTACTCAATTTTAAAATGATATACAACCCAGATGACAACTGCCACATGTTGTCAGTACCCGTACGATGTTTCGTGTCTCATCCAAGTAATGGTAGGGTCGGGGTGAATGCTATATAGATCAGGTTCGGCGAGCGGAGGGCACCCTATAACACGGTTTGGGGGTGCCCTGAATCGATCCTCTCACCTCTCCATCCGGCATATCGCAATGTCGTTGAAGGATTCGGGTTCATGGCCCTTCGAGGCGATAAAGTACTTCTCCGGTATGTTTCGTCAGCTCAATGCCGCCTACGTTGTTGAGAACAATTCAGGCGTTGCCGTAACACTATCCCTCTTTGATCATGTTCTCACCTTCAGAAAAGAGCTCGACCTTGTTTGGCTCCAGCGAGGCCCGTGGAGTATCATGCAGCTTGTCGTGGTGATGAATCGTTATGGCGGGGAAGCAAGCATGCTATACCTCGCGTATAGTGAGTATTGAATGCTCTGCACATTGGGTTACCGTCGACTCATTAACGCCGCAGTGTTCTCTGGATTAATGCCTCTATCTACTTCTGTGAGTACCGGCCCTCTCTTGGTACGTCTTTGGTAATAGTTACTGATAACCGTCATTAGTCGTCAGTAACAACACAATATTGGCCCCGCGTTGCGACGTGGTAATCACGAATGTTTTGTAGATGTCATGGGCTTGTAATAGTACTGAGTGTATACTGCATCCTAGGAAGTGCCCTGTCACAATGTGAGACAATATTCTGATTTGCCCGATGTAACTGACATACATGCAGTCGTGCTATTGCTCCGTGTCTATGCCTTATGGGACAACAGGCGGTCTGTCAAATATGCACTATATATCGGATTTATGGTGTGCCTCGGAATCTCACTAGGATTCGCCATAACAATTGGCCATAATTTGCTCCGTACGTGATAAACCCAGAGCTCGCGGGTGCAAACCGACTGACACCCTTCAGATTCAATCGTATACTTCAAAATTCAACACTTCGAGGCATGTGTGATCAATTCAACTCCACGCCAAGTGAATTTTGCTTTATATGCGATAGGATTGTGGGGTGGGATGGTCTGTATTTTCCATTCAGCTCCTTAAAGGCCTGAAAGTTGATAACGAATAAATTCAAGCTCCTTTATGATGTCTTTGTCTTCGTAACACTGGTTGCTAATGCTCTGAGCCGGCCACGGCGGAATAATTCAGAGATTGTGACCAACCTCAGCCGTGATAGAATCTTCACCTTCCTGGTGCGCAAACCTTCATAGTCATGATGCCACAATTCTTGATTGAGATCCTATATTTCAGGCTTTCTTTGGTGGGTTTATTCTGTGGACCGGTCATCAGTTCATATGATGAACTAATATTCCCCAGTTCTTCGTCTTTGCCAGCTCTCCCCGAGCATTTCTGCTGATGTATATCTCATACTCTCTTTTTATACCTGATACGACTGATTTCGTCATAGGTGAATTACACATTCCTTACTATAGGGTGATTATCTTTGACTCCTTATTGCCATCCCTGATAATCATTCTGACGTTCACGGTATCATGATATAGAGTCTGTTGGACTTTGGATTACATCCTTTGCTTCCGTTTGTTTCTCAAGATGAAGGACGCTGAGATCAGATCAGGATGGGAAGCCATGGGAACTCCGGGCACTGTGCACATCCGGGAGACCATCGAAATGATGAGCATATGACAGCACAGCTCACTCTTGACACCGTAATCCATGATAAAGGCATGATATGAAGCGCCTTTCGCGCCGCGTCATCCAACGAATGTAGGATTACGGCTATGTACCGTGATCTTACCATGGTCACAAAGGCTATGGACTAGAGGGATGGGGGTGAAGCCGTTGCTGCGGGGGCATAAACATTTCGTGTATATCATGACATATACCATGCTGATATGATACAAAACCCACGGAGAACGGGCCGGTCATGCAGCGTTCAATATTTCATGCGTCAAGATCATTCTCACCAAGCTCAAGTTGACGCTGAGGCGCATGATCGTGAAATGATTAGTAAACTAGTTGAACCCATCCTCCCACCTAAAGCATGTCCTCCAGTGTCCCGCGCTCTGTTTTCTCCGCGTTGTATCTGTTCAAGGAGACATGTATACTACAGAATCTCTCTGACAGTCCAGGCAAGCAGGAGCTTTGGCACATGGCAGTCCTACCTACTACCCAGCCGTCTCATGCTTGAGGTGAGCAATATAATTAGACAATCCTGCAGCATCTACGCTGGTAAACGAGGATCCATGGTCCGTGGGTGTCCGCTATACCAGCTGACACGAAACACGAGGAGAACAGAAGACATTTCATGTAGACCTCACCGAGGGCTTCGGGGAGCTCTACATGAAATCGCTCCTGCTGCACCCTCTAGCTCGCCGCTGGTAGCTCCCCCGAAATCTCCCAGACGTCGACACGCTCACGTGCACAGACGCGTCGGCGACGACATCTTGTTGAACGAATATGCCAAACTCCAGTCCCGATCGCAATGTTCGAACATAAAATGGGGCGGGGCGCAGAGTCTGTTTTCCCATCTGTACGCCCCACATTCTCTGTTGATCAGCCGAATAGCTCTCGCGTACTACTCGAAACATGACTTGTGCAACTTTCACTTCTCTCTCTCACTTGCCCTTCGGCACGTTGGCCTGCACCGATGGCCAGGTCGTCCGCTTCACGGCTCCTCCCACGTCCCCGCCGTTCGTCGCGGCGCCATGGGCAGCAAGACGTCTTGGAAAGCGGGTGTTCGAGTCGAAGACCCAATACCGGCAGTCGGTGCGGGCAGCCTACGATGCTCATGGGCGCCATCGAACTCTGGGTCGCACGCTGGACGCCCACAATCTGCGCCGGATCCGCCTCGGGGAGGTGGACTGGGTGGACGAGCAGGATGGGCCGTTGTCAGCTGGGAAGCGGAAGCGGCTGACGGAGGGTGTGCGGACGCTGGACGTTGGTGCATCCGATGAGGACGAGCGGCGACCGACATTCAAGGTGTGCACGGCGGAGGCGCGCGTTGAGTTGGGACAGGACACGCGGATAGTCAACATTGCGGAGCTGGTGGTCTCTATGGGCCGTCGGGACAACAGCGCCCGCCGTCGCCGACTGGCCAAGACGCCGTACGCGTGTTCGACGAGCAAGAAGAGCAAGGGCAAGAGTGGGGCCAGCGCGTCTGCCTCGGATGTGTTCGGTCCAGTGCTTGGTGTGCTGGGCGACATCACGAACAAGAGCGTGTCATTCGGCGCTGTCCCTACGCCTCTCGTTCCGCTGCGTCGTCGTCGTCGCCGCTGCGCAGAACCTGTCAGTCCATCGCCAATTCCGCGCATCGCCAAGCCATGTGCCCTCGACGGCCTGCATGCGTTCCTCTTGGCTACCCCATCTTTTCCAGAGCAGCTCAACGGTCACCTGGAGGACGCCAATATGATGCTCGAAGGAGTGACGCTGTGTGGTGACGAGGTGGGTATTGCTGCTGGCTATGGAAGATGTTGTCGCGTTTGACGTCTCTCCTGTGCAGATCCCTACCGTTCTTGCCCCGGTGCCCTTTGACCTCGATGTGATGGACGGCTTCGACATCCTGTTTCCACAGCCCGTCCCCACCGTCATGGAAGTCGATGTCTGCCCTGTCGCCGAGGCCATTCCGCAGCCGTCTCCTTACAGAACTATGGATACCAAGAACACGGTATTGGAAGGGCCTCTGCGTGCCGCGATTGACTGTTGGAACGACATCTTTGACGGACGTGAT